CACAGGAGGGGAAGGCCCTCTATGAGGTGGATTGATTCAGTGACTGGGATAATCGGGATGGGAGTGTCAGAGACAGTGCATTTGGCACAGGACAGAGCAGAGTTTAGGGCTGTTGTACATAGGGTCGCTGTGAGTCGCAGGCGACTCGACGGCATATAATAACAACAACATGGTGAACAGATCATTCGGAAGGCTGGGCTTTCTAAGGAAGAATGTGGCGTCAGGATTGGGGGAAACTCATCAACAGCATATGTTATGCAGGTGACACAGCCTTCTTGCTGAAACTGAGGAGGACCTGAAGTGCTTGCAGCAGGATGTCAAGAACTGTAGTCTTCAATATGGATTGAAGCTCAATATCAAGAAGACAAAGGCATTCACCACTGGGCCAACTGGCAACACCATGATAGAGGAAAAAGGGATTGAGGTTGTTAACAGTACAGCTTGCTTGGTTCCAGAATCAACACTCTGGCACCAGCAGTCAGGAAATCAAAAGGCAAATTGCATTGGGAAAATCTGCTGTCAGGGACCTTTCCAGAGTACTGAGAAGCAATGATGTCAGTCTAGAGACTAAGGTGCACTTAATCCGGGCCATGGTCTTTCCAAATACTTGATATCCATCAGAGAGCTGGACAATGACTAAGAATTATGATAGAAAAAGAATCGATGCCTTTGAGCTGTGGTGCTAGAGAAGAATCTTGAAAATACCATGGACCACCAAGAAAACAAATAGGTCTGTCTTGGAAAGAGTGAAACCACGTTTCTCCTGGGAGGCGAGGATTTTGAAGCTCTGTTTCACATACTTTGGGCATGTGGCCAGGAGGGACTGGTCCTTGGAGAAGGACATCATGCTTGGAAGGGTAGAGGGACAGCGCAGAAGAGGAAGATCCCAAATGAGATGGATTGATACAGTAACTAAGGTAATGGGGGTTAGGTGTGTGAGAGACAGTGAGACTGGCTCAGGACAAGGCAGACTTCAGAAATGTTGTACATAGGGTAGCTGTGAGTTGCAGGTGACTCAACGGTACATAACAACAACATTAACGTTTTGTTCTAGAAGAAAAATTTAGCCATTTTACTTTTATTACTGATTGTCATAGAATCAGTTCCAACTTAATAGCAATTACATATGTATGTGCATCTCTCACTCAATTCTCATTGTTAGTTGGAACCAACTTGTAGCTGACCCTCTGTTGAGTTTCTGATGCTGTAAAATGCACAAAAGCAGATTTTGAGTTAGAGAAGATTTGGGTAAGAGCAGCTTCTGGGTAGATTTGAACTGCCAACTTTTTTATTAGTAATCTGAATTCTAACAAAAAGGAATTCTTTTTTACTCATCATCTTTTTCTCCAAACCTAGAGAGAAGGGTTTTATACAGGGTAACTTTGAAACCAAATGGGAATCCTGAATACTGACTTGAATTATCTATTTTCTCTTAGTCACCTTGGTTCTGGGATATCCGACAGTGCTGGCATAGCTATCCATATCAGGTAGGATCTGGAGCCCTTTCAAGACAGGAGTCTTGTGTAGGGTAGGGTAGGGAAGAGTATGTACCAGGACAAATGACACATTTCCTTGGTTTTCATGAGGGATTAAGAGTTGAGTCTTTTTTAATTTTAATTGTATTTCCAGAGTATCTATTTTTGGAGCCACCAGAGCAATGAAATTCAGTGATCTTTTTCTTCCTGGTTCTTCTTTATTATGTTTGCCCAT